AACAATTTTTTCTTTTTGCCTTACACTAACCGTTTAAAACTTATACATCTCCCTACACTCGCTAGTTGTAGGGAAATGATTGGTATAATATTACTTGTATAACTCATCAATGGGTCAGTCTGTAGCCAATCTCTTGTCTGATATTAATTTTAACATTCCAGCTCGCTCTACCAGGCAGTTTAAACCTTTGCTTTTAAAATTTTCTAGAACAAATTTCGAGTTAAACGAACCATTCCGCCGTATATGTCACGATTTCATTCTCATTAAAAAAAATATTTTATTTACTCTTAACAAGTAACATTTAAAAATTATAAACTTTAATCTAATTCTTAATTTTGGCTGTTGAAATTTTTTTTTCTGTAGCTGAGCAGCTTAAGATCGCAACGCTTAAAACTCTCTTGCATTTTATGACTCGGCTATTTCCGCTCGTTCGCGGATTGCGCCCCTCGCGTCGGTTGGGCGGGAGGAGGGTAATCGTTGGGTATTATTATAACTTTTCAATACAGTTAAAATAAATGAAAATACAATTCAATACTCAAAGTACACAAGTTGATCTAATCTAATTAATTTTACAGCAAAATAAAAACATATGTAAATGACGGATAATGAATTATCTTTATCGACTATCACTTTATCATGCGAGAGTATAAAATGTTCGGTGACACCCGAACTTAGCCCTTCCTTACTTGTTATATTATACATATGTACATATCTTATAAATTGGAATGTTGCACAGCTCTTCTCTTCACCGCGATGCGAACTTTCGCTTTCAGTACGCAAATTTTAAGGCCGCGTTAAAATTATGGGTTAAATTTTAAATTTTTGGGAGCTTAATTTCAAAAGGCGGATTATGTCGCTCACGGAAACCTTATTTTTCTTTATAAATGTGAAAATGGGTATATGTAAGTAATTTGAGCCTATTAAGCTTATTTACTGTCATAAAAGTTCCACGTGCCTTCTCGGTTGCTATGCTGTCTGGTGTGCTTCTTGCCAAGCTAAAAGAAAAATTCCTACGATATTAATTTTCTTTACTCCCATTTGACTTTAACTAAGCTCGCCTATGTTCAAGTCTCGAACATCACGAAAAGGAAATAAAATACACACAGAGATGCGAAGTATTTAAATTCATTTTATGATATTTTGCATAAGTAGTTTTGGAAAGGAAGCATTGACGCATTCAAGTGCGAAATGGGATCTGCTTACCCATTGCGTTGAGGCGTTGTGAAGAAGAACCGGAAAGACACTACTAGTATTTTACATTCGACATATTCAAATAAGTCAAAGCACTCAGAAATATATTTAACCTATTACTAACCATGCAGCTAACCGTCAACAAGTAGTTGCTTTTGCTCTTAGGAGATGTTATTTGCCAGATTTTAGTAGCCCTTGCAGAGTAATTTTGTGTTAACAAGCTCCCTGACTGCGTCAGGCGTCACTCTGGTGTCTTAGAGGCTGGTTAGAGTGGCCGATGGCTGGTAAAAGCTCTCATGGTCTAAGGACCTCAGGGCTATCAATTTCCCTTTGCAACTATTTAAAACGCTAGAGACTCAATGAGCTTTAAATTTGGGGTCGTTTTCCAACACACGAGCTGTTAAGAGCTTAGAATCCCTACAAAAAGGGTAAAATACACTTAGTAGATCAGGAATTGAGGGAGCCCTTATACATAAATATTATGCAACTCTTCCCTCGTTAGAAGCACCTATTTTTCAAACGGTGGATCTGTAAATACCATATAGCTGGTAAGTGCTTTGCAGCGAAGAGTGTTATAAGACTAGGGAAACTGGGTATATGAGGAGCCCGGGTAGGCACAAACTGAAATTATCCACAATTTTATGAATGAATCTAAGTTAAAACAAGCAAAAACGTCAACTTCGGCTGTACCGAACCTAATATACTCTTCACAGGTGCATTTCTTTTAGTAACTATGTGTTCAGTTTGTATGAAAGCTAAATGCTATAGTAATCCCATCTGAACAATATTTTCGGAGATTATATTATTACCTTAAGCAGTAATCCATATCAAATTTCGTGAAGATGCCACGTCAGATGCCAAAGTTTTCCATACAAGCCCCTGATTCCGATCGTTCGGTTTGTATGGCAGCTATATGTTAAAGTGAGCTGATCTGAACAATTTCTTCCGATATTACATTATTTATGTGAGAGAGAAGTATGCATTCACTCTGATAGCCGAGCGACTATATTGGCTTTGAGTTCTCTAACTGTGTCCTCAAAACTAGTCAAAGAGTGAATGATATCATTAACAATAGCCTTAAGTTCTTCCGAAGTAGACTTGTATGAATACTTGGTCATAGTAGGATCGTCGGTAATTTCATCTGATTAGAAGTCGGACTCCGATTGAAGTCACACTCGCGGTGCGGCTAAATAATATTTTCCTTGCCAAAACTGCATGGAGGAAGGCGAGTTAGAATCATCTTGTCCCTTTCTTCTCTGTTGGGATTTATATTAATTGAAATAATTGTAATCTATCTATAAAGAGAAAATTGAGCAGTTTGAGCATTTAATGTGTACATCAATACGGCAATAATGAGATTAATTGCCATACATAATAAAAATGTACTTCAGTAGATATAGCTGGTCTCGATAACTCCTAAGCGAAATAATAACGTCAAATTTCACGGCAAAAATTTGCTTCATAGACACACATATAAGATAAACACGTACGCAACAAAATATTTCAATTTAAAATTTCCAATGATTTCATCGCTTTTTGTTCTCGAGGTATTGAACCTCCCACTAAGCTTATTCATTATTTGACACAAAGTAATGATATCCTATATAGTATATTATACACCAAGGTATGTGCATTGGAAATGTATTAAATACAATGGGCATATTGTCAGTTTATGAAAAAATATATTTCGAATTTATACTCAATCTATATTCAACGCAAATATTGTTGGTAGATAGTGATATACAAAAGTTGTATCTCATACGAAAATGTGCTGTAATAAATTTTAAATTTTACATACCATACATTTTTAATAGGGATCTACTCATGTGAATAAGTCTACATGCGTCACAGGAGTACTAAGAACTGACACCCGTTTGTATGTGTGCGTTGACAGACAGACGCATTGCTGTTGTCGGTGACATTATACTCAAACGTACGACACCATGTCAGCGGGGTGTTGCTTTGACAGTGACATATTGCTATATTTCTGAATATGGGCGTTGAGGGATTGCGTTGAGTTAATCATTGAAATCCGTGTCTATTTGTTTATCAAATTGTATGTCAAATACAGTGAATATACATATATAGGCATAAATACATAAATAATTCACACCAGAATATATTTCAACATAATCGTTGGCAAATTCTCTGAAAGTACTGTTAGGCGAAGGACAGTAAGCTATTAACTAATAAAAATATTAAAAAAAAAATTCGTGAATTGCAAATATATGTATATATGCGAGTGACATATTTTGTTATGTAAAAGCAAATTATTATAAACTTTATTGAGAAACTAAACATAAATTTGAACAAAAAATGTTTTTGAAACCAGAAATATAAAATTTCATAAAAATTTATGGTGTAAGATTTTGAACTCCTTTAAATTGAAGCTTTACTAAGGCACCGGCAAAGTGAACGAAATTCCGATCATACTCTCTTACAATACTAAACAAATGGTGGAAATGCAATCTAGAATTTAATTAAAATTCGTTCCAACACACACATGCACATTAGAGCGTGTTATTTTTATACCCTTGCAACATGTTGCTACAGGATATAGTAATTTTGTTCACCTAACGGTTGTATGTATCACCTAAAACTAAACGAGATAGATATAGGGTTATATACATAAATGATCCACATGACGAAATGTGTCGAAATCCGGTTGACTTTTTGTGTGGTCGACCGTCTGTGCAAGCTGTAACGTGAATTAAAATTGTATGAATTTTGAAAAACTGGGCATGGCTGAGACCGTTGAAGCTATAATATCCAAATTCGCTAAGTATAAATAACTTGATAATTGATTGCGTCAGAGACAGTAAATTTTACATCCAGGATGGCTCAAAAGCTTAATAAGAGCTGATGCCGAAAGTGGACGATGTTTGTGGCACCGTCAACATTTAGGTGTAATCACTTTTGATCATCTGATTCTAGAATTTCCCGTAAGAAACCCAAGCACCAATAAATATATCTGAATAGAACACAAGTTAAGTGATAATCCATACCTCATCAACTCGGATCGTTACATTATCCAGACCACACGCCTACTTTCCATATAGTATAATTTTTAATACCATCAGATTCTTTCAATTTCTAGTATACAAACCAATCAATATATAGAGCTTTGCACGAAAAGTGTCCTAAAGGTATTTCATCTTGCGCTCAAAAATTGTCAAAATCGAAATATAACTTTTCAAGAAGCCAGACGCCAAATATGTGGTCTCCAGTTCGTATGGTAATCTTTCTGTCGAACTGTGAGATATATTACTGAAATTCGGAAAATTTGTCCGTGATAATAACCTTGCCCATGGCTATCAGTCCTATAGCTATTAAGCTTTTTTATAACCTTCGTTTGTGGGCGGGTCAATGTTTGATTTCTCTATATGCACTGTGTACGAAAGCGGATCGATAAATATGTGGCTTACAAAGGAGAAACAAATATTTTGGAAAAACACAGACACCGTATGAAAAATACATTTTTGCGCATTGTCAAATCTAGACAGCCGAAGGTTGTAGCATAGTTCGACCAACTCGTTCGGGACGATGGCGGTGGTGTCAAGGTGGAAGTGCGCTCTTTTCTTGTCTTCGCATTTAGTTTCCCTTTCATTGTAGGTGTTTGAAACAACCATTACTGGAAACAAACCATAGTAATATTATAGAAAGTATATAAATATGTACATATATAACACAATTTCGGAAACAACTAATATACTTGTACAATTAATTTAATAAGTTGGTTGTTTAGCTTAATTTTTGGTGCCGTGTACCGAATTAAATAAGTAACTGATTCGGTTTCCTCATCATTACAGATAATAAATATAACGCACTTAGAACCGGCACTGGATGCAGGTGTTCCCTCTACTGCCTCAGGAATGGAATTGTTTACTTCCATCTCAACTGCAAGTGGAGAGGGCACTCCTTTGGCAGACTACATGGAAGTAGATATGAACAATTTAACCGCCCAGCCGAATTCAAGTCTATTCGTGACGCAGGGAAAAAATCTCGTTGATCGGTTTTCAAGAAATCGCGCCGTCAGCGATCAGTGGCATTACGCACTCATAAGTATATACTTGGGTATGATTATATTTGGCACAGTCGGCAACATATTCGTCGTGATGGCGGTAGTGAGAAAGCCCATAATGCGCACCGCGCGCAACCTATTCATACTGAATTTGGCTATTTCTGGTGAGTATAAACATGCATTTAACTTATCTTTGAAATGAGAAGTTCCCTGAATTGCAATATACATATATGTTTCCCAATACATATGTACATATGTATATTTTTATGCACTTGCATGTTTATATCGATTTGTTTGTTTGCTTCGTCTTATTTACCGTTATTAATACTGTTATTTGCATTTGATAAGTCGTTCTTCGAACTGCAATAATTTCAGATCTACTGTTATGTGTAATAACAATGCCTATAACGTTGTTGGAAATCCTCTCAAAGTACTGGCCGTTCGGGATGTTGGAAGTAATATGCAAATTAGTTGCCATGCTGCAGGCGGTGAGCATTTTCGTCTCGACCATTTCCATAACAGCCATTGCCTTTGACAGGTATCAGGTGAGTTTCCGTACAATGTTGTTTTTATATAATATTACGAGCTACGGAAAACATACAAGGTGCGTTCCAAAGTAAACTGGCCTTTTTCAACGTAGCCATCTATGTGTTGACTAGTGCGTTAGAATTTGCTATCTTTATCGATTATCCATTGCGAATTTATCTATTAGAAGTGAAGTTATTGCGATTTAAACGTCAGTATATTTGCGCTTCGAACAACGAGTCAACATTAAATTTTGTTTAAAATTGTTAAAACTTTTACCGAAACGTTTCAGTTGATGAAACAAGTTTATAGCGATTATTGCCAATCCCGTAGCAGTATACACGAGTGATTTAGTTCCTTTTCAAAGTGGTTGTGAGGCCATAAATGACGATCAACATGTGGGCCAATCAAAAACCGTGATCATCCATCGCATGAACTCATCAAAAATCAGCCGAAACCTTGGATATGGATATGGAATTGAACATGTCCAAAACATCGATTTATCGCATTTTGACCGAACATTCGACATGTTCGGCCCAAATATCTTGAAGATGAAAGTTGGCGTTTGTTGCACGATAATGCGCTGACTCATCGATCGACGCTTGCGACCGATTATTTGACCAAAAATCACATTTTAACCATTAACCACTTCCCGTATTCACCTGATATAGCAACGTGCGATTTCTTCCTTTTCGGAAAAATGCATTTGCCCATGAAAGGAAAGCGTTATGCAGACGTAGGCCATTCAAAAGGCTTACTTGTCGACATACTGGCGACTATACCAGCCAACGAGCTAAAACACTCGTTCGACATGCCTTTGGACCGTGCAATAAGCTGTATTGAAACAGAAGGAGACTGTTTTGAACAAAATACATTGATTTTGCAGAAAAGACCATTTGTTCTGTTTTCTTTTTTTTTTTAATTCCTGTTTACTTTGGAACGCACCTTGTATAACTACGCAAAAGCAACCGTACGTCAGTGTGTGGGTCTCAGCAGAGAAGCTTTTTTAAAGTTTTCGCGCCCTCGATGAAATGATAGTCTGTAGTATTAGGAGTTCGCTATTTTATCGCTGAAACACAACTATGTGATATAATAATATTTAGTTCCTTTTTAACTCGCTTGACCAATTTAAGGATAGGAATAGTTCGCGATGGAAGACAAAACACTTGAATATCTGAAAGTGACTTGATGGGTATTCTCAGTGCTCTGTTAAAAGAAAATATTCGTAAGTGATTTTTTCAAATCGACACAGATCATTTCCAGCTTTTCTCAACAATATTACGAGTGTGACCGAATTTATAGTCAAAAACCGAATGAATACAATCGATCACCAACCACCGTATTCACCATATTTGATTTCATGTGATCTGGTTTCTCAAACTGATATTGCTACTCCGTAGAACCCGTTTTCAGTCGATCAAAGAAATAAAACAAAATTCGCTGATGGAAAAATTGCGGGATAAATGTAATACATCTGGTGGGGATTACTTTGAAGGCGACAAAATAAGTATTGATGAATGACTTTATTTATATTTTCCGGATACATTTTTCTCAGAATGTAAAAAAATTATCACATTTTTTAGCCAAGAGCCTAACCAGAACAAAGAAATGTGGAGAAAGTCTTAATTAAAGAGAAAAAGAGAAGAGGTGACTATCAATAGATTTCAGTCATTTTTCAGAGTTTATGTCAGCTGAATTAACGAAATTATATTCTGCTATACCAAGTATTTCTTCATATCTGAATTATTTTTCGATGATGGAAGGTGGTTATAAAAATTGATTACAAAACTAGGGCATGTGGTGTGAGGAAAGAGAATGCAAGCTCTAGCATTATCCAGATTGCTTAAACTATGGTCAAAATACCAACTAATAAAATTAGCACTGCACTGGGTTTTAAGCTGCTCAGTTTATTTACTAACAACTACGGTACTTCCACTCAATAATGGGTATTTCAAGCATTGATTAGATGAGCCACGAGTTTAACCAATAGCGTTAGTTCTTTTCGTAGTAAAATAACATTCTTATCCCCCCCACTTTGCTTCATAACGCACTATTTATATTTTTAATTTCCAGCTAATTGTATATCCGACACGAGAAAGCCTTCAGGTTGGTGGTGTCGTAGCCATTCTTGCTGGCATTTGGCTGTTCGCGGTGCTGTTGGCCAGCCCTCTCTTCATCTACAAACGCCTGGAACAGGCAGAAATACCACCACTACTGGAATCCTTAGGCATCCATGGTGTATGCTTCTGTGTCGAAGATTGGCCCGTGAGTCATGGACGATTCTATTATTCAATATTTTCGCTCTGCGTGCAATACTTGGTGCCAATACTGATCGTATCCGGTGCATATTTAGGCATCTATAAGAAACTGCGAAGTCGCACAACGGTGGTGGCAATGCAAACGCCACAACGCAACGCGGAACGTGGCCGTCGTATGCAACGGACAAATTGCTTATTGATAACGATTGCATTGATTTTCGGCATATCATGGATGCCCTTAAATGTTTACAACTTATACGCGGATATGCGGAGTCCAATGGCGGTGACGGAACACATGCTTGTTATATATGCTTGTTGTCACATGCTTGGCATGAGTTCCGCGTGCACAAATCCTCTGCTCTATGGATGGCTGAATGACAATTTCCGTAAAGAATTTAGAGAATTAATATGTGGTTCTAAAGAAAACACTAATGTTGCTCTTAATGGTCACACGACAGGCAGTGGACAGACACGGCGGAGACGAAAACACACCGAAATATCCAAAGGTGATTTGAAGTTGTTGCCCAACAACAATGCTGTTGGCTTACGAAGTGCCGTGACCGAGTCGATAGCGCTGACAGAAAATCCAATTTCCGTTGAAGTGACAACTCTGACTGCGGTAAATTGACAACTAAAACAAAAGCACCGACAACAAAAAACACACCACACTTGTAATAATAATATACAAGAAAGCATGGTTTTAACTGTATAATAAAAATTTAATTAAGAGATCCACAAATGTAATTTATGTACATATAAAGAATTTAAATGTCAGTTTGTAGCAGAAATAAGTAGTCGTTTTAAAATACATATGTATGCATGAGTTTGAAACTGTTTAAAGTTTAAAGTTTAATATAAATAATACTATATTTTCTAATGCTAGTGATTTCAAGGATCAATTATTTCAGTTTAAAAGGTTTCTTCTTTACTACTGAACATACTATTTTATAAATAAAATATGCGTATATACTCGTATGTACATAGACCAACGGTGTATTTTTTTGCTCTCGTTTTCATACTTCTCTTATTCTGCAGACTTGTGTATAACATACACATAGCTCACATATGTATATGTATGAACATATATACATATGTACTTTAAATAATCAAAGAGATTAGCAATTAGCTAATTAGCTCCGATAAATTTAAAGTTGGAATAATCCCGAGGATGCCACTGAATTGGTGGTGGAAAACACAACCAGCTGTAAATTCAAGCTCATGACAATTCAACTAATTTGTTGATGGAAGTTAAATTTTTCTCAGCCACTGCTAAACTATCGCCATCGAACTATTATAAACAAGTAAGGAAGGATCAAGTTCGCGTATAGTTTTGTCCCGATTTGGAAAATATTTGGTTATAAGGTAACCTACTTTAAGCGCACTATACACCATTCAATGAGACGTGGTAGTAGTCTATTTTCGCACATTTTCACACTGGAACATAGGAACATCAAAGTTACATTATATACCAGATATGGTCGATATCGGACGGTTAGATCCTGAGATATAATATAATTTTTCACCGAAGTTCTATATCCACCCGGCTAAGAGTAACATTTAGTACCCTGGCGTATTTGTTTATTGATTTATCGCGTTTTTAGTAGTTCTTCCAACCGAAGCGTTATATCGGTAGCGAACGTTGATATCACCCGATTACATCCATTTTTACAGATTCGGCTGAGGTGCTAAAGAGATTTGGCCTGAGCAAATTTGAATATTATATTTGAAGTGGGTTAGGAGATGTGTACATTAAACCTTTTAGAGGTCAGGGTCACTCCCATGTTTTTTTTTAGCTTACAGCCAGTTCTGAATTTAATGCTTAGTTATGGCACTTTATTAGCTTTAATCTGATTACACCCATCTTCAAACTCGTTCTCACTTTTTTTTGGCAAGAAATTTGTAGATTTATTCATGTTTATTAAGATATCTCAATTTTTACTCAAGTTACAGCTTCCATGGAGGTGCAAATATTATCATGTTCATTGTGGGACTAAGAGCCCTTATTTCATACCAAATCTTATTATATTCTGGAAAATATGACTCATATATTCATTAGTTATTATGGCAATATGGTATTGACCGATTCCGATTTTAATTTTTAGTTCAGAGTTACAACAAACATACATGCGACACCATATTTAATTGGTTATTATTAGCGGTGTTGTAGTCCGAGTGAGATACGAAGTTTTACCAAAAAGTGGACTTATTTTTACTCTTAAGCACGGGATACTCGTGTGCCTAGTTTCATTAACATATCTAAACTCTTACTCCACTTGTCGCTAGCACAGACATACAGATAGATATCGGAAAATCAAAAGCTATATTTGCAACCAACAAGTCGTAGGATGGCAAGCAAAAATTCGCCATTACGTCGACAGACAAATCAATCTATTTGACTTTATGACGTGATGTTGAGCTTTGTCAAAATAATGGAACGGAAAATTTCAAGAAATTTTCTTCACGAGCAATCATATTTATAGTTTTTTTTTTTTTAATTTTGTGGACAAACATTTTGTAAATATAAAGTAGTACTTTCCTAATTAGTAGTTAACGTTTGCTTATCTAATTTAAAAATGACAACTTTTAGTTTCTGACAGTTTCAGTGAAATATACAATAGTACTATGCCAAACATTCCATGTTAATATAATGTATGTTTTATATTTCATGTCCACGTTCTCTTCTTCTCTTTACATGCAATTTTTTCCAGGAACAATATTTGCTGAATTCGGTGGATGTGCTGTAAAATAAAATCTGGTGTGCATGTGATGTTATAAGGACACCATTTCTGTTAAGTTCTATACATATGTAAACCTGACGTGTTCATAACATTAACGAATGAAAGAATACCCTTTATCACAAAACTGTCCACCAAAGCACAAATAAAAAGGCAAAATCTAATTGAACAATGAAACCACAACAAACAAATTTGAGTGATATCTGCTAGGGCTCTGATTTCTATGCATTAAGATTGTAAATACAGATATGTATATATAGACTAGTCAATTATATGCATTTAAAAAAATTATATGATGACTAAATTTTACATCCAATTTATTATTTCATGCACTAGCCATATATAGTACATACACTTATACAAATTTATAAATTCATGTACTTATTTTTATAACATTAGGTTGTCAAAAAAGTCTTGCGGCATTTTCGCTAGTTGGCATCGGGTCATACTATACCTTTTTGGAAAGATCATTTCACGCGCTAACACGTGTTTGATTGATTGTCGTTTCTTTTAAGTCGTTCGTGAGTTATAGCTTCGCAAACATGGAGCAAAATAAAGAGAAAATACGGCATATTTTACAGTACTACCACGATAAAGGCAAAAATGCATCTCAAGCCGCCAATAAAATTTTTGCAGTTTATGGACCCGATACAGTTTCCATTTCCACCGCACAACGATGGTTTCAACGTGGTCGAAGATGCGCCACGTTCCGGAAGGCCTGTCGTCGAAAATTGCGATAAAATCACTGAATTGGTCGATAGAGACCGGCATAATAGCAGCCCAGCATCGGTCAAGAGCTGGGCATGAGTCATCAAAGAAATGTTTATGAACAATTGAAAATACTGCTAGACTTTTTTGACAACCTATTATATAAGAGCATTACTTAAAAAGAAAATTTTGAAATATAATGATAATTTATATTCTTATTAAAATCAAAGAAGATGTGGTACGAACTTCAAACGCGTTACCTAACTCCGCATAACGGGTTGGGAACTATGCCAAATCGGGAAGTTCGGTAATGCTTTAAAAATGGCGTCAACATTAGCACTAAAATCCGCTACTTCTTATTCTAAAACCAATTTTGGTTAACTTTCAACATATAGACAGACAATTCAGAGGTAAGACTTTAGAACACGAACCGCAACATTATTTTTACATACCCGCAAAATGTTGTAACCATTATTTATAACCATTTATAAAATAAATCGAGATAGAGATATTTATATTTTGATCAGGAAATATTGAAGAGATAACTTGAGTAAAAATTTAGATATCCTAATGAAACTTGCGTCAAAATGGACTCTAGAAAAAACACATGTTGCCATTTTCAGAAATCTTCAAAATGTCACAGTTTAGATACTACACTGTAATTTGGTATAATTAATTGCTTAGAAGGGGCTGGGCATCTGGCTTGTTAAGAAGTGGATACTGTAATAGGTTTAAAGTATATATCTCTCAAACCATTAAAGCTTAATCCACCAAGTCTGCTGAGGATAGCCCACCCTCGTACTGCGTGAAAATAATAATCACGTCTATTCCTCATATCACTTTAAAATATGCAAATACCAGTGAAGATATTAAGAGAAAAATTTTAACAACCAATAATTTGCATTTTTAGTCTAAATATTTTCAAAATTATATCATATTTTCAAGTATTATGTTATCTTAGTTATCTTATTAAGTTTTCTCTTGTGTGTACTATAGTTTAATGCATAAAATGTGCATAAGCGGTCCGTAATGCTTTGCCCTCCAAACGATTGTTTGTAACAGTTAAAACTAATCGAGATAGATATATAGTCAGTCATATTTAATTAATTATTAATTAGTTATTAATTTCCATGTGATTCTTTGATTTTAGAGCGTAGAAATCCAGGACAAAAGACAACACTTTGTAAAAAGAATGCATTTGTAGCAAGGGATTTAACAACTACGAACTGTTGAAATCGGACCATAACATTACATGCCCCCAGATATCATTTATGTTGACTCATTGGAAATTCAAAGAAAATCTTTTCCAAATAAGAAAGGAGAACATAGAGTCTAAACTTGCCCTCACCCTCATATATCCTCAATGTCATTTATATCCTATTTAAGGTTTACTTTAATATAAATATCGCAGACACGAAGTAGAATATAGAAGTGGAAGTTTAATATAAAAATTTGCAAACACCTGAAAATAAGGCCTCGGCTTTTACTTTGCACACTGCGAGAGTATAAAATGTTCGGATACACCCAATAATCTTCCTTCCTTACTTCTTGGTAATGACATTGTGAAAATGAGAATTAAAAAGAAAATTTTGTGAGCTAGTATACTTAACCAAAAATGCTAAAAATTCCCACTTAAACGAGTGCACATTTGTTTAGATCTCTCTTAAAATAAAGACTTTCGTGTTCTGTAAACTTTTCAAATTCCCTGTCGTTTGGTAAGTTGGTATACTATATATGCATTGCATCATGTTTTGAAGCCTGGTAGTCCATGCGCAGTGGCAGAGAAAAACACGCACAAATAAAGTTAATGCTTTTTGACATTTACATCTGCAACGATGGTGTAGTCAGTTTGATAAATTTTAATTTAAATTCATACTAAATTTTGCATAAAATTGAAAGATTTTGACGAAAAATATGTTTATATGATGACAGAAATATAATACACCATATTTACATGAATACAGCATATTTTTTGAATGATGTTAGTGATTCCAATTTCGATGAAACTGAATAAATTATTTATAATGAAGCAATTTGATTTTAATTTGATAAGTTTTTACCTTTGTGCGCTTGCAAAACCAAAGAAGTTTACTGTGAAAGTAAACTTTGTCGTCAAAGTGTTCTATGACATCAAATTAAGTAGCGTTTCCAATTTTGTTTGATGTTGTAATCATTATTCCATATCGGAAGAGTTTTCGCAAATAATTTTGG